GAAAGAAAAAGAAATAATAATAATAATAATAATAATAATAATAATAATAATAATAAGCTAATCGCCCACACATGGTGATCACTGACAAAATGTGAGTTCTTATTGGCATGGCAGTCTCTGAAGACTTTAATATGTCTTTGAAGATCTTCTAAAATCTATAAAATATAAAGACATTGAAATCGAAAACTCAAAAAGATGTTACTGAATGTTAGAGAATATGAGAAAAAAAACTACTATTAAGAAGAGAGGACAATAAAAGAACAAGAATTAAGAAGATAGAATCTGTTAACATAGAACTTACGGTTGAATCTAGCCATTTCAACTGTAAAATGATAAGACCTTGTCATTGATCTAAGACAGCGCTTAAATTCCTAAAGTCTTGGTACCATAGAGAAAATTTCATCAGAACAATTACCATGAAAATATTTATTGAAAAGGCTGAGGGAAGCTATGTTACGGCGGAGAGAAAGTGAAAAATGCCGAAATGCCAGGTCAGGATCAATAACACTGCAGATTCTTTGAATTGTATCAAGAATCTATAAATGTATATCAAGAGCACCAGACGAGATTTGACGGTAAGTTTCAAAAGAAGAATAAATGGTAGACGAGAAAGAGTGTCTAGCACGATACAGTTAACCAACTTTTCTGTCAGCAGAGCTAGCAGTTGATTCAATATATTCTTTCCACTTCATATCAGCGGAAAACGGTAGTTGTAGAAGGCGCAATGACTCACTCTCTTGGAGGTTAGCATCAGCCATTCTGATGAAATGTAAAAAGGGTTCCCTCAAACAAACAAAAAAATACAGAGAAATAGGAAAAGACGATCTTATGTGAATGTATGGCGGAACGAAGACTGGAGGTTTAGCCTAAAGAGAAATACTGGTGAGAGCCACAAGAGATAGGAAGTTATGGAGAGCTATAATCGCTCATGTCTTGAATGGATGTGTCACATAGAAGAAGAATTCTGTGATTCTCCACAGAAAATAAACGTCTTCATCGGCATTTTTCTATTTATAAGTGAAACCTGAATGCGACAAACCAAAGCGGGCGATTGTAATTTATCATGGAGTAGTCATGGGAAAAAAGCGATGTTATGTTTTAATTCTTAGTGCCTGTCCACCCCCGCCAATTTCCCCCACCCCCAACATCACATAACTGTTTGTTCTCGACCAGTGACAGATGTAGATGGAGAACTCAAAGTTACTACTGTAACAGAACTGTCTATGGCTTTGTTTTAGAATGGGCGTGTGTAACGTTCTTGGGAAGACTGTTTCTCTGTCTCTCTAGTAATGATTTAGGTTGCCTGTGTTTGCCTGCGTGTATGGAGATCAAAGTGTATTTGTACGAGGTCACACGTACACAACAATGTAATATTATTGACGTGTGAATGTCTCTCTCTCTCTCTCTCTCTCTCTCTCTCTCGATTCCGTGTTTAATAGGCATTCACCTCTACACGTCAAGAAATTCGGTCATTCATAAGAACGTAACTAGCGAGATCTGCGGTAATTCTACAGTTTTTACCCAAGAAACCATTTTTTTTTATCAGTTCACAACAAGCAAGGCGATAAAGACACTAAGACTCAAGTGGTTGTTCCTCTTTCTCTCTTGTCGAACTCTCTGCCTCCGGGCGGAGAAGAACACAGACAAGGCTATGCTGAATGACAGAGTCTCGTTTGGGGAGGTAGACAAACCCGACCCTGTGTATACGGGATATACGGGCAATTTTTGCCCGAGTCTACGGGTTCAGAACGTCCCACGTTAAAAACTGACCTTGTGCCACATCTTGCCTTGTGGGGAGGTTGGTAAATAGAATGGTTACTGAGAGTGGAAGAGAAAACAGTAGCGGTGTCAATGGAGAAAGCGCCATTTTGAAACACTGTTTTCTGGCGGGCACGAAGATCTATGTTTGTCCAGTCATATAATAAAAATAAAGGCTTAATAAAAAAAATAAATAAATAAAATCAATTTGGTAACGTAACCGTCGTTCTTCATTTTGTTTAATAACATCTGTCTAATGGTAATGTTAATAGTAATATTAACTGTTTCCCTATAAGGAAACATTTGGCATTCACTGACCGAGCAGCCAGTACTGTTTTCGGTTGAAATTTATAAAATCCTTCTCTGAAAAATACTTTTTTAGGAAAACAGGTTTCTCAAATCCAGTAGCTGTTATCGCTCTTTCTAATATTGGTTGGGGGTGTCCTTCTTAATCTTCTATTTGAAGTCGTGTGGAAAAAAGAACAGAATATGCACATAGATAGATAGATAGATAGATAGATAGATAGATAAAGAACAGAATATGCACATATCCTTCTTAATCTTAAGTCGTGTGGAAAGCTAACATCTTGATTATGTCATCATTTCTTCTTTGATTTAAATGTGATAGCCATTTTAGTTCTTGCTGTTGTTGGTAGTCCTCAAGGGATGTAGTTTATTTTATTTATCTATTCACAATGTTCAAAGCAGGATAATCTTTGCCAACTCCTTCAGCCTTTATTCGTTCAGATATGAATTGAATTAGATAGATAGATAGATAGATAGATAGATAGATAGATAGATAGATAAAGGTAATATTAATAATTATATTAACTGTTTACGTATGAGGAAACATTCAGGATTCACTGACCGAGCAGCCAGTACTGTTTTTGGTTGAAATTTCTAAAATCTTTCTCTGAAAAAAACTTTTTTTAGGAAAACAGGTTTCTCAAATCCAGTAGCTGTTATCGCTCTTTCCAATATTGGTTGGGGGTTTCCTTCTTAATCTTCTATTTAAAGTCGTGTGGAAAGCTACCATTTTGATTATGTTATCATTTCCTCTACCAGTTAAATGTGATAGCCATTTTATTGGTTGGTGCCGTTGATTTGGCTCTTGTAAAGATAGATGATAGCAGCAGGAGTCAGTTGCTTACTGGAGTGGTACAGGGAAACAACCATTTTTACCAACATCTTTAGCGGTGGATCGTATGTACAAAGAACGAGAAAAACGACAATAAAAGAACAAGTTCCAAGAAGATATGTGAAAGCGAGTGACATTGCATTTATATTTTTGAAGATTGTAGATGACATCGAAACAAGAAAGCGGAATAGATTTCCACTGGCGAGAAGTGCGAGAAAATAACTATTAGAAGATAACTTACGATTACATCTAACTGTTCCAACAGTAAAACAACGAGACAACGGCAAATCTAGTAGTACGCTTAAATTTATACGAGGTACCCAGGAGGAAAGACAGCGCATTAGAACAATTACCATGAAAATATTTGGACAAAAGACAGAGAGAACCTACGGTGAGAAAGTGACTGAAGCCGAGATGTCTGGTCAGGATCGAACTCACTACACAGTCGTAATTGTCTCTCTAGATCAATTACGACTGCATAATGAGTTCGATCCTCACTGATGCCCCATAATTCCGGCTTTACGCAGCACTAAGCTATGCTTAGTAAATTACTATAATAGTGTGGCACGTTGTGCCATGGTTAACAAGCTTGTCTCATTAGATCAATTACGACTGAATAGTGAGGTACCGTCACTGGGTACCTCATACTTTCGGCGACATCTAAGCTATGTTTAGTAAATCGCTATAACATTTGAACAATTACCACCCTGGCCTTCCGTAGTTACTGAATTATTTAAATAGTCTATGGGAGGTTTTCTTTTATGTTCTATGTCCCTTCAGAACGTAGGCGATCCTGGCTCTCCATTTCTTCCTGTCCCTTGTAGTTCTCGATAAGTTTTGCCTTTTTATTTCTCCCAAACCCTGGTCTGCTATTCACTTACTTAAGCGGGTTATGTCACGCGTTGCTTTCCGTGTTCCTCTTTTCCTCTATCCGCCCTGTGAGTATCAGATTTTCCAAGCCCTCTTTTTTCATTACGTGTCCCAGAAATTTTAGTTGCCTCTTCCTGATGTTAAGTATAAGTATCCTCTTTGTTTACATCCTCTCCAAAACCTCATCGTTGCTCACATGTTCGGTCCATGGTATCCTTAGCATCCTTCTGTAGAACCATACCTCTATTGTTTGGAGTCTCTTCTTCATCTTTGAGGAGATTGTCCAACATTCACTGCCGTAAAAGAGGAGAAGTATCACGTAGCAGTTCAGTACTCTTTTCATTGTTACCAACGAAATCCTCTAGTTTCGTAATACTCTGCCTTTTGGAATGTGTCTTTGGCCTTCCCAATATGTCTTCGGATCTCAGCGTCGCACTTACGGTCCTCTCTCATAACACTTCCCAGATATTTAAATTTCCGCACTTGCTTGATTCTCGTGTCCCCGACCTGTACGGACATATGAAAATTGTATCTAGTTAGACTAGCTTGTTAGCCATTACAAAAACAGTACTATATTATAATCCTGCTTGTTCTTCCTTTCGTTATTTAGTTAGCATGCTTAGTAAATCGCTACTAGCCAAAAACCTGTCTTGCTAGCATAGCGTAGTTGTGGCCCAAGACATAGATTAAGGAGCACCCAGATTTATGAAGCATAGCTTAGATGTCTCACAAGGCCGAAAACACTACTCAAACGTAATTGATCTGTCGAGACAAGCTTGCTAACCACTACGCCACGTCGAGTGCTCTCAAGCATCTTTTTATAATTGTGCTTGTCCCGACCTTCGTTAGTTCGCGCGACCGTTACGCCCTGTCAATACTTCATAATTAATGGATAATTCCATTTTAGAAGGTTTCCACTAGCACTACAGGGTGATTGAAAAGTAACTCCCTATTTTATGTATGATGGACTCTCCTGTATCTGTCTATATTTCTGAGATGAGGTATTATTTACACTTTTTACATTATTCGGACTATTGTCCTCATCTTTGTCGCCATATTTATTACAACGTAAATAATGGACTCTCCCGCTGTTTAAAAATTTAGACGGGGGAATCCATGATACATAAAATAGGATGTTATTTTTCAACACCCTGTTTATTTATTTATAAAAATATTTCAAAGTTGTTGTTTTTTTTTAATTAAAATCTTGTTTTTTTTTTTTTCAGGCGAAAAAATGGGTCAAGCCTTGAAAAGAGCAACTCGCATGTCCGTGACTGAGGAAATAGGTGGGATGCTTCAAATGACCCCAATTAACGAAGAAATGTTAAGAATAATAATCTCATTCATTGAAGAGCTGCCGGATAAATATCCAGAGGAGTCGAAACTGGTATTTAAGAAACCACTCACTTGGGACACAAGTCTCAGCTTTGAAGCATTCTCAGGAGACGACTACGTTATTAGGTTTGTATACAAACTTCTTCTCTACGCTATTTACATTGCCCGGACTGTTGTCCTCATCTTTATTATCATATTCGCGACGTTACGGCCATTTTAAACTCCGGCCTTCTTCAGGTGATATACGTTGGAATTTCGAACCGAACTCTTTATTTCATCCACTGGCGGAAATTGTTCTAATTCCACGTGCCATGCCTCTTCCGGATATCTTAGTTTCAGTTATCTCCCTTCAGTAATTCAAATCTCCAATTTTTTTTGTTCACCTCTGCTGTGGCCAGGTATTAAACGTACAACACTGTCGGTCAAGTCACTGGGTTACTTCGACCAACGCTTATATATCACCTGAAGAAGGTCGTATCGTACAATGATCGAAACGTCGTGAATATGAAAACAAACATGAGGAAAATAGTCCGAACAATGTAAAAAAAGTATAAATGATTACAATACCCCATCTCGGAAATAAAGACAGGTTCTGAAAAAGGAAGAGGCGCACAACAGCAGAAACGTCGTGAATATGGCAATACAAATAAGGACAATAGTCCGAACAATGTAAATAATTACAATACCCCATCTCAGAAATATAGACAGATCCTGAAGATGGCCGGAGCGTATAACGTCCGAAATATAGACAGAAACTTCTCCTTGTTCAATATTTTACGAAAATTTTAAACCTAAAACGGAACGATATCCCGAGAAAATACTGATTCTTCAGGGCTTTAAAAAAGAATAATTTCAAATATTAAAAATTTGACTCTTTTTTTTTATTTTTATTTTTTATTGATCGATTGATTTTCTGCGGCTTATCAACCATTTTGAGGTTATTCAAAGCTGGAACTTATTTTTAGATTGTAAGAATTTTTAAAATAATGATTTTCTGATACCAGAATGAAGAGAATGGAAACAAAAAAGAAACGTATACTTAACATCAGGAAGAGGCAGTTGAGATTTCTGGGGTACTTTATGAGGAAGGAGAGCTTGGAAAATCTGATACTCACAGGTCAGATTGAGAAGGAAAGCAGAAAGCAACGCATAACATATTTGGTGGCTTGAGCAAAGAGATGGTAGAACAGGATTGGAAAGAAATAACACAAAGACATAATTAATTAAGAGTTACAAGAAACAAGAAGATGTGGAGGGCCTTGATCACCTACGCCCTGAAGAGACATGACACATAAAATAAGACTATCAGGTCATCCCATAAGTTCTGTCCGAATTTTGAATAAAGAAAACAAGTGACCAAATGTCACATTTAATTACAGATTCAATCAACAATGTATTTTCCCTAATTATCTATGACTCCCTTCCATCTATTAACAAGCTTACTAATTCCATTACTGTAAAATTCTTTTGGCTTTGATTCGAAGAACTCACAAATGTCAGTTTTAACCTCTTCCTGTGTTACAAAAGCTGTTTCTTCCAAATGATTCTGTAAGCTACGAAACAAATGGTAGTCTGAAGGAGCAAGATCGGGAGAATAAGGTGGATGAGGAATTTTCTCTCAACCAAGTTCTTCGATCTTTTGTGACGTGATTCTTGCTGTGTGGAGTCGCGCATTGTCCTGATGAAACAGCGCCCCTTTTCGATTCACTAGAGCATGTCTTGTTTTCCTCAAAGCTTGGTTTAAACGCTCTAATTGCTAACAGGATAATTGTTGCATTAGGTGGTAATAATTCAAAGTGGAATATTCCGTATATATTTATATATTTATTGCTCAAAGTAGAGCCCAGTAGTGTTATAAAACCTCAAGAATTCCAGTAAGATAACTTTAATCATTTCTAAGATACAACGGTTCAGAGTTCAATCTAACAATTGGAAAATTTAGATGATTTGGACATTTTTGCTGTTACACCCGGTATATAAATAAAGTGCAGTGTACGTGTGTCTGTCCGTCCGTCCGTTTTTCCATCTTGTCGAATGATAAAAAATCTGAAGTGACAAGTAATAACTACTGTAGTTATACGCGATTAAAAATTAAATAAATAACTCATTAAAAGTTAAATTTAAATATCGACCAGAGTGAAAGGTTTTTTTAAAAAAAACAATTTTCTTAAACTCATTCGGTAAATTTTTTCTCGTATTCTTTCACGATCAGTAACCTGTTGTGTCTTCGTGGCTTTATCGCTTTGCTTACGGTGCAATGATTAAAAACAATCACTCCAAAATGACGAGATTGTTCTTGTTGGATCAGTAGACTAACAACATATATATATATATATATATATATATATATATATAGAGAGAGAGAGAGAGAGACTCGTTTCGAAAAACCCTCGAATTTTTGATTTGCTAATCAAATCAATCTCGAGTGAAAAAAAGGTTTTAAAAAAAGAAAGAGCTACAAACATGAACTTCTGCCGACAAAAAAATCGCACAGAAAAAAACCCGATACGAGTAACAACTAACTAACAAAAGAGCTCAATACAGCCGTAGAGCAGACCTAGATACACCTAGTGAAACCGAGGTAGGTTTGTCTGGTTTTTTGGTTTTTTGTTTTTTGTTTTTGTCACGTGGTATGATTTTAGCTATCACCTATAAATATGTGTTTCTCTTTGCCTCGTTAGCCAAACTTTCCCTGACGATCCGTTTAGGTGAAACCTAGGTAGGTTTGTCTGGCTCACTAGGTGTATCTATATATATATATATATATATATATATATAGTACCTTTGTTTTTTTATTAGAACGTATTTCAGTGTCACTTTTTACCTTTTCTTTTATTTTTAAATCCCCTCAGTAAGAAACCCAATAGCTTAATGAGTTTGTGGAGCAAGGTGTCAGAATCTGATATTGAAAAAGATAAAACCTTTGAGCAAGAATGGAAAACAGAATGTGTTTCTATTAACGAAGTTAATCTCCGCTCCCGATAGGAACAACGCCATCAGATCTCTCAGTGCTACCCGCATTTCCTGTCCATACTGATAGGCGCCTTGGTGCGCCGATCTTGAACAGCTAACAGAATAGGTAGTTCTTCAGTAACTTCCTTAAGTTTAACAGGTGTAAAGGTCATCAGAATTTTGTAAAAAAAAAAACAATGGTAATAGACAAAGAAAAATTCAAAACTCACTAAAAAAAATTCACACACTTCTTGTTATGATCATATGTATTACTGATTTGATATAGATTTCTAACGAATGGTGTATCTGCAAGACTTGAAGTCGAAAGAATAGTTTTTTTTAAATTTTACTGATCATATATATATATATATATATATATATATATCAAAACCCGACCGATTTGACATCAGCCAGAGAGCCTACCCCAAGGATATCGCCGCAGAGAAAAAGGGGAATTTTATAACGTTTTCAACACGAAATACGCCATATACCTTGCTTGGGATGAAATAATTAAATATATATATATATATATATATTTATTAAAGACATTTTTATGTTTAACATTCTTTTTATAGATACAAGTATTTAAGTAAATGCTCTGTTTATAATAAACAGTATTAAATAACATTTACCGGCCTAATGTCCGAGAAATTTTCATAGAAAATATTCGTCCTTTGAAGGATTCGAACCTGCATCCGATACGGAACCGTCATTTAGCTTGACGTGCCTAGCCTCTCGACCACAAAGGATCGTTCGGCTGGCAAGGTCGAATTTACTGCTTATAAACTTCAATCTTCCATGAATCTCGTACATTCATAACTGCTCAATAAATTCGACCTAGATGTCCGTTTGCTTGAATCCAGAATCGAAATGCTTAATAGGTATAGGAACTATATATATATATATATATATATATATATAGGAGGATATATGTCTAGGAGGATATAGATTTTAAAAAATTTCGCTTGAAGATGGAACAGAACTTGGTACTTTAATTCAATTTAATTCAAATAATTATATTGAAGTTTTCGGCTTTTGTTTTTGAAACATGAGAGCTCTTATGTAGCGTTGGAATCATATTTTTAAATAAATAAATATATATATATATATATATATATATATATATATATATATATATATATATATATATATATATATATATATATATATATATATATATATATATATATATATATATAGAGAAAGAAAAAGAACAGATTTAGAATCCACATTTCTCAGGCATTTATATTTTTAAAGTGCTCAGTGCAAACGTAGACCATACTATTTTAATGTTATTTTTATAGAAATTTCCGTATCGCAACTTAAAATATTTTTTAATAAAATATAATTAATATATATATATATATATATATATATATATATTCTGTTTTGTGAGTGTGTTTAATAATTAAAAGAAGCTTTCAAAATACGTTGCATACTATTCAGTATAATGGAATTATATAATAAGTCGTTTGGCTGTTAAATTTGTAAGAACTTAGTGCGTCTGTAACCACACCCTGACCCCACGCGCCCAGCTGTTATGAAAATCGTGATGTGCTAACGTACCCCCTCCTCTCGATCAATTTAAATTGTACTCTTCCATTTCTTTATCAAGTCGTAAAACGAAGAGAAGTCGTTTGAGATAATATACCGACGTCTGTCGGATATAAAAATGCAATGAACACTGCTATTAAACAAATCGAAAAATTCTCGCGGACATTTTAAACAGACTGGTCGCTTACTAAGAAGTTTGTTCTCTTTGTTCTTTCATTGATGCCTCAGCCGATGCGGGTTCGCGTCGAGCTTACTCTAATATGTTATGAGAAATGAACAAAATAATAAGTGTGGTACTAAAAATATAGTTTAAAATGCTTCTAAAATCTAAATAAAATGGCGTTTCATTCAAAGCAATTACACCAGATACCTTGGCTTTTTTTTTCATGTTTACATAGATGCTGAACATGGCGTGTTGAACTAGAACAGTCTACCCCAGTGAGCGAAATAAAGGGTTCAGTTCGACATTCCAACTACCTGAGGAAGTCCGGAGCGTACAACGGCAGAAACGTTGTAATAAATATGGCGACAAAGATGAGGACAATAGTCCGAACAATGTAAATAATGTACATAATACCTCATCTCAGAAACATAGACAGATACTAGGTGCTGAAGGTTGTTAAAATTCATCAAAATATTAACCTCGAATATAAACCTACTCCTAAGGCACCCCGAGGCAGTGTGATGATTATCATGCTTGTCTCGCTTGAACAATTACGACTGAGTAATGGGTTCGATCCACACTGTGTGCTCCATACTTTCGGCCTTGTGCCACATCTAAGCTACTCTTGGAAAATCGCTATAAGCCTACTCATATTTTATCATCGTTTTTGTTTCATATTTCTCGACTTATAAACGAGTATACACGGTATTTTGACGGAGATGGGAGGGGGTTTCCGTAGTCTTCGAATGAACGCCCAGCTAAAAATATTTTCGTGCTTTTTATGACTTTTATCAAGAGCAATCTGTTTTAAAAGAACTGATTATTTGCCACCGATTGCCACTGTTTCGAAGCTGGATTGACGAGCAGAAATGGGAAAAGGCCCGCAACAAACGTGGTTCGCTCGAAAACACAAAGAAACCCCGATCGATATTGGAGCGTAGATAGTCTTCAAGCTATCAGCCATCGTTTGATGTCCTGTTTTGCTTTTTGTTTTGTTATTTCTTCCTCTTACTTAGGTCTCTCCACATATACAACCTCAAGACAGCCTTTTTCTATGGACGTACTTTTTTTTTATGTCTAATCCTGATCATTAGATCCATCGTGTGTTAACATCGCGTGCTTCCATCTCTCAAGGTGAATCGCTGAGACAAGGAAATTCTTTGAAAACGTAAGAAGGGGGGCGCTCCAAAATTTCCAGATAAGATTCCAGGAACCGGAAAAAAAAGAACATTCGGAATAGAGTTGGAGCGTTTCCCAGAGCAACGAACAAGGAGTAAAACAGTTATACATTTGCTTTTAACGTGGTTGAAGAAAAAACATAATAAATTGACTCCTCCCTCCTTCTTATCTTTTTTGTTCAACGATATCTTATGGTCAAATCACGCTGAAAATCGCAATTCTCGTTCGATCACAGCGGTTAAGCAGCATCGAATTCGGTCAGTATTAAATGGGGGACTAGATAATATAAGCAACCACTTTCAAACAGAAAAAAAAACCTAAATCAATTATTCAACATTCATCTTCTTTTTTTTTATTGAAGGGGTTAAATACAATCGGAGCAAGTCAATCATAAAAGAATGCAAAAAGCATGCATGATGGAGTAGGAACACCCATATAATGGAAACTGTGCAATCAACTCTGGTACGACTATGTAAACACATGATGTTACAAACAAGAGAAAACAAAATAGAATAAAATGCTGTATCATCGATATGAGAGAAGACAGTCGTAAACAAAGAAAAAAAGGATGTTACAGAACCTCGATGTAGTTGCGTTAAAGGACGGCTGAAAAATAGCAGGACCTTTCTCGGGAGCCGATAAAAATGTTTAACCTGCAGTTTAGAATCGTATTTTCTGTAGTTGACGTATTTGGAATAGTGAAGATATTGTGGAATCTTCCACATTAGCCTTCCACCCCTATCGGAAAGATGTATTCTTCCCTTAAAAAAAGCCTTAACCAATCATCACTTCGTTTCAGTAAATTCAATCTTCTATTGGTTAAAAAACACTAAACTGTAGCAAAGTCGAAACAGATCCTTTCCCGCCGAAGCTCCATGGAGCCGATTTTTAGTCACCAAATTCTATATAAACCTCTGCATGACTCAATTCAAGTCAGTCAGTCATCAAGTTTCGTTAGATGCTACCAAACTCCACGCGTGACAATTCACTGACTCAACATCACTTCAAAATTCTCAACAAACTCAACACAGCATTCAATCAACCATTGTCCGCGTGGTAATCAAATTACAATTGACTTAAAAAGTGAACGTTTTCACTATACAAACAGTAATTGTACAATTCATCAATTTAGCCAAACAGTTAAAGGCAAACAACTCTACACAACTTAAATTCTAACTAACAAGTAACAAACGCATACACACTAATATTTGAACGAACACATTTGTGATTTTTCCTTGCAGAAACCAAATTATTTTAATTTCACTAAAAAATCAAAACCATTAACTTTTATTGACCAAATTTCTGCATGAACATTCTTCATAACCTTGTCTCAATTGCCACAATCAACAAACATTCTGTTATCCTTGCATGTATATCTATTGTATATATAAAAATCTCTTTATTGTTGGATCTCAAACCACTGTGTTTTTAGTAATTTCTTGCAATGCAAATTGTCCTTATATTCTTTATTTGATCTTCGTGTTGTCGGATAATGCATAATAAGCACGTATAATCTTTGCCTTACATAAATTACCTTCTGATACATTTTCACTCAGCTACAACCCTCAATAATATTAAATCCATCAGGTATTGGGGATTATTTGAATACTCAGCACGATGCTAGTGGAACCTTGTCATGATATATTTTACGATTGGTCATGTGGATGTAGGTTTGGGATTCTGTCACCAACTTCTCTGACTGGTAATCATAGTAGCAGCGTTTAACGACAGTTATCCTAGATTATGGCGATTTCCCCAGCTTCCTTCAGACCAAATTAATAATGTCGGTCTGTCTCTATGTAACAATGTAAGCAATTTTATTAAGACATGAGGCGGTAAGGTTAAAAGCATGTATAAAGTGAGAGTGTGGATGAAAAGAGAGAGAGGGTGATGTTAAATTTTGAAAATAAGCAAAGCTAGAACATCAGTCTGGAGAATAAAACTAAATTTTAAAATTCCTACTTGGAATTATGGGGATTTGAAACTGAGAATCCTAAGTAAAGGGGGTCTAAAAAGTGATACCCGAATTCCCAAGTGAGCCATATCACGTGATGTTAGACTGAAATTCCGACCGAAATCATACTATTCTATTCATATTCATACGTGACTTTGGGGACAGACCAAGGAATTTGTCTGACCTTGGATATGTGTCATCACATATAATAACGTAGATCAAATGAAGCGTGCGCCATAGATACGAGTTGATGGAATGCGCAGTGAGACAGTTCAGTTCGAGCCAGGTTCGGTTGCTAGCTATGTAAATTAGTTCGTCCTGTCAAGCATAAGCTTTAAGATAATTCGGCTCGTCGTGACGTCTATTCCTACGAAGGCATTATTCACACAATATCCGGACAAAAAAGGCATAACGGATTGACAAAAAGGAAGAAAGTAAATAATTTTTTTCTTTCTTCTCGCCAGAAATCACAACGCAAACTATTAGGTTGGTGCAAAAATAATGACGTAAGAATGTCGTTTTTGACGTAGAAAAGTACGTCAAAAACGACATTATTACGTCATTATTTTTGCACCAACCTAATATTAGACGATACGATCAAATGTGAACCATAGACTATGGGGCAAACCCAGGAAAGTTACCACGGTCCCGGGTGTATGTTCATTTCTACATCTCGCTGAAAATCACATTAGATATCTTTTCAGTTTTCTTTTTCTGATGTAAAATAGCACAGCGCATATAAACTGTAATGGCTATTTTTATTGTCCTTAGGAGGGAAACTTTACTGATTATTTGTTAGTGACGAAGAGGGAGAAAATGAGTGAGAGATCGAGAAAAAGAGAGACTTGAGTTTTTTTTTTTCTCGTTCAGGAATTTCAAGCCCAGGTGTTTATTTTCTTTAAATATTTTCATGGTAAATCTTTGTTGTTGTTATCACAAAGTTTCGGCCGTTGTGCCATCTGGCCTTCCTCAGGTTTATATCGATCGAATTAATTTCTAGGATGAGTGATTATTATTTACACTATTTATATTTGGACTATTGTCCTCAGATAATATTAGTTTAATCTGCATATTAACTTTTGTCAGTCCGTTTTCGTAAATTCGAAATATCTCAAAAACTGGCCACTAAAAATGGCAGAAAATTTAGTTACATATTTTACTTAGGGTGGAAATTATCCAGTTTAAATTTGACAAATATTGACTTAGAACCCTTTGAATTATTTGATTTGCATAATTAATTCAGACAGACTGTAATAATAATATGCTCTGTGTGTGTGTGTGTGTGTGTGTGTGTGTGTGTGTGTGTGTGTGTGTGTGTGTGTGTGTGTGTGTGTGTGCGTGTGTATGTATGTGTGTGAGAGAAAGAGAGTATAAAAGTCAAGAGAGAAAATGAACGTGCCCAAGTCGGGGACACTTTACCCACGTGTGACTACATCTTAAAACCAGAGCTAAAAAGCTGTAAAAGAGACTAGGCAGGGAAATGCGTGCCTTTATAAAAGTTTAAGGGGCGCCCCCTAGCGGCAGTTTATTTAAAAAATTCAAGTGGGGTAACCTACATAGCCATAGTTCCATGATTCGTCACCTGTTATGAACGTTTTCAAAAAGTTTTCTGTGGTGTGGCGAGACACTTTTCTTCCAAGCAATGTCTATAAACAACGGAAGTGAACGAGAACGTTATAACTAAGTGCGCATGCGCGACCGAGTTCAGGCTCAATCTGTACTAAGCGGTTTCACTATGAGTACTTTAATCCGTTACCGTAGCAACGGTCCCGATATTTTTTGAGTAGACCTTACATTTGTTTTGATTTTTTTTTCCAGTGAGAACGAGTTGAAATCAAAAATGGAAACCGAAAACCCTTTGCTGTTGATGACAAAAAGTCGAGAACGCAATGTCCTAAGCATTCAAAGTTTGGAGTTTGCCAACAAAGTTTTGCGAGCTGCTGGCTTGAACAAACTTCAGGAAACCTGGACTTGCCTTTCAAGTGAGTAACTCATCTATCCACCGCAATAACTCGTGTATAATGCGCACATTTTTCAACATTTCAAAGCCTAAAAGTAAGGGGCACGGACAGACTAAAGTAAACAACACATTCACAATCTTATCAGTTGCATGGCCCTAACCAGTTGGGAATCTCTCCAATGGGATTATGTACTGTGCATCTTTGTTCTAGAGTAGAAATTTATGATGGAACATTATTATTTTAAAAGCTTGAATGATGAGGCAGCCAAGGCGGCTTCGGAGACACATCTAGATAGAACCGTCTGAACAGACTTGGTTTCCCGACCTGAAGGTATTTCTAAATGGCATTCCCAAGGAAGTTTACGCGTTGCTTTTATCAAAACCTGTCACCAAATCTCTGGGATTATATACCTTATCATACTGGATGTCGTACTGGGTTTACTGGGGTATATATATTTGTACCCCAGCGTCACTTTTTGGCATACTGCTCTGTCATTCAGTCATAATAATAATGATGAGAAACCTCTTCTTAAACAGGATGATATAGACATGTATTTATTTCTTTATAGTTTTTCTTTCTTTCTTTTCTCTTTCTGTCTTTCTTTCTTTCCTTCTTTCTTTCTTTCTTTCTTAAAATCCTTATAGCTTTTCTTTTTTTCTTTCTTTCTTTCTTTCTTTCTTTCTTTCTTTCAATGCTTGTAGTTTTTCTTACTTTTTTCTTTTTTGTTGTTTTCCTTTCTTTCTTTTTCTTTCTTTTTCTTTCTTTCTTCCTTTCTTAAAATCCTTGTAGTTTTTATTTCTTTCTTTCTATTCTTCTTGCTTTCAATCTTTGTAGTTTTCTTTCTGTCTTTCAATGTTTGTAGTTTTTTCATTCTTTCTTCCTTTCTTTCTTTCTTTCTTTCTTTCTTTCTTTCTTTCTTTCAATCCTTGTAGTTTTTCTCTCTCTCTCTCTTTCTTTCTTTCTTTCTTACACGTCTTGTTGTTTCTCTTTCTTTTCTTCTTTCTTTCAATCCCTATAGACTGGAGAATTGAAAGAAAGAAAGAAAAAGAAACAAAGAAACAAAGAAAGAAACAAAGAAAAACTATAAGGATTGAAAGAAATTCTGGTACTGAATTTTCGTTTTTCTACTTGTCTATCAACAACGATCTTCAAAACTTTAAACCTTAATCCTAATCTTCATTTTCTCTTCACTTATATCCTCTTAGCTTTAGGGATCATTCTCATATTCTTTCATCCTTAGTAAACCCTCGCGTCTTAGTAACTTTATCGCCTTACTTCAAATGAAATGATGAATTAAACAAAAGACTGCTGTACTGCGCTACGTAAGAATCTTGTGGGCATCACGTGGGAATAACCAGAGACCTTTAAGGAAAATGTGGAACTACAAGGATTGCTATACACTTTGAGGAAAAATACTTAATATCTCTGGAAAACAATGAGAAAAGAAAGTTTAGAGACTTTAACACACACAGGACATATTGAAGGCGATAGTATCCTACGAAATGTTTTTGTAGGAATTTATGATAGAACAAGAACTAATTGTTATCATGGAGCAAAGGTTACTGAGAACAACTAAAGATAGGAAGTCGTGGAGAGCCATGACGGTCACATCCTTGAAAAAGTTGGTACATAAAAGAAGTGAATATTGAGCAGAACAAGGGCAAAAGCGATGAGTAACAGACTAAAAGTAACTTAGAGCAAAATATAGGAAGTTGTGGAGAGCCATGATAGAATAGCTCAAACAGGGTCTGTTTACTACTATTATATTGTAATCCCTTCAATTTGCGTTTTTGATTTTGTTTTCTAACTCTCCTTAATCCCTTTTCCTTCTCCTCCCCCTCCTTTCTGTTTTTCTCTTTATTTCATCCCCTTGCTCTTTCCTCATCCAACTTCTTTTTTCCTCTTTCTTTTCCTATTTCTTTCTTTCACTGCGATTTATCGATGTTGAAATGCGATTATATCAATCCCAGATTCTATACCCCCCACAGGGGATAAACGCACAAAAGCACAGACAGCTCGTGTTTGCAAGGACACAAATACAGGACACCCAGTGAGGATCGAACACAATACTCAATAGCAAAAGTTCACCAGATGAGTTCACTAACCAAGTTAATTATCAGACTAAAGTTTAGCAAAAGACCAAGATTATGAGGGACCTGGTGAGGATTAAACGAACTACTCAATAATATTAATAAAGTAGACTAGTATCGCCAAATATTGCATCACAGTATTATTCTCCAAAACGAGGCGTCACATTTATAAGGTCGAGTTAATAATAATAATAAACGTGTTCATCATTTTTATTCTTCATGACGAGACGACCAATTTATAAACTCGACTTAATAAAAATAATAAACGTGTTCGTCAGTTTTATTGTTCATAACGAGTCGGCCAATTTATAAGCTCGACTCAATAATAATAAACGTGTTCATCAGTTTTATTCTTCATGACGAGGCGACCAATTTATAAACTCGACTTAATAATAAACGTGTTAATCGGTTTTATTCTTTATAAAAGAGGCGACCAATTTATAGGGTCGACTCAGTAATAATAAACGTGTTCATCAATTTTATTCTTCATAACGCGGTGGCTAGTTTATAAGGTCGAGTCAATAATAAACGGAATTTAGTATTCAATTTCTGAAATGAGTAATTATCAATATTCTTGTATTATTACCAACTATTGTTACCATTATGGTTGATATATATGTTATTATAGATACAATGTTTCGATCAAGTACCCTCTGGTTATCATCAGGTGTCCTCTGATTGGCTGATATGGGATATCTTTTGATTATATTAACATTGTAATATTTTGTCCCTGTGATATCAGATATTGTTCGATCGAATGTATAAACATAAAAATGTCCTAAAAATAATTGTCGGACTTTGTCCATTTCATAATATATATATATATATATATTTCCCTGACGATCCGTTTAGGTGAAACCTAGGTAGGTTTGTCTGGCTCACTAGGTGTATCTATCTATCTATCTATCTATCTATATATATATATATATATATATATATGTATATATATATATATATATATCTCAGAAGCACCAGACAAGTTGTGTTCCTCAATGGTCGGTATAGAACTATGTAAGGCAGATTCTGGCTAGAAGAAATATTTAGCACGACACCGTAAACCAAATTTCGTAGCAGCAGACTTAGCGATTGTTTCAATATAAAATCTCCGTGTTATGTCCGTGAAAAACGCGAGACAAAGAAGTCACCATGAGTTGCTCCCATGAAGGTCAACATCAGTCATGTTGTTGGAAGCCAAAAAAAATAATAAACATTTTTAAAGATGATTAATAGAGATCAGTTTCGTTTTGAAGGCGTTCGACTTAACAAGCCATTTCTTGCCCCAGTTAACAACAAATTGAAAATAATTTTCGAGATCAAATACGAATTTAATTTTACCGCACCTATCAGATTACTATTTGCTTAGCTGAGCTTAATTTTAGCACATGGCCCCAATTATGGGGCACTCAGTGAGAATGCAACTCACTACGCTGTTGTAATGATCAACATCAGTAGCATCTCTACCCATTGCCTAAACCCGAAGCGGATGAAACACAAGTATTTAATTCAAAGAAAAATCCGATATCGATTCTCAGGTACAAAAATATCCCGGAAACAAAAAATAGTTATTCACGCAGGCCGCCCCGTCGCTTAAACATTTCATTTGATCTGTAACGATTCTTGAAAATATGGTGAATTAATTTTATGGCATAAATTCTTACTCACTCCTCTTGTCTTAAAGACCAACACTTCGACACAAAGCACCTCGCCTATAGACCTATCTTTACCAATACACACTTAATTATCTATACACTACTAGCCCACATAAACACCTTCGGAAGAAACTTTAATGGAACATGCCAAATAACAACCCAACCAAATTATCCCACGATTCATTACATTGTCTGGGTAACACTAGTCCTTCATGGAATTATTCAAGTACAGCTTGGATGCAAGGACTGATGAGATCTGGTCACACCCAAAACATATCATCAGCTCGAAACAAAATTGAAACGCGACCCATATCATACGACACTTTACATCGTTTGAGTAACATGTGTGCTTTATGGAATTATTCAAAGGTTACTATTTGGGTGCAGGGAGTGATAAGATCTGGTCAGACCCAAACCGTACCATCCACCCGAAAAAAATTGAAATGTCACCCATATTCCTGATGCATTACATCGTCTGGGTAACATATGTCCTTCATGTAATCATTCAAGGATTACAATTTAGGTGCAAGGTCTGATGAGATCTGGTCACACCCAAAACTCCATTATCAGTCCGAAAAATTGAAACGTGGCCCACATCCTACGATGCATTACATTGTCTGGGTAACACGAGTCCTTCATGGAATTATTCAAGGGTTACAATTAGGTTGCAAGGACTGATGTGATCTGGTTCATTAGCCTGAAACAATTGAAACGAACCCATCTAGTCCTCAGTTTGTTCTGGAGAACTTTGCCAGTCGTTCAGAATCCAGGTAGCCAAATTTCGAGCCTATGTAAGGTACTATGCCGAGGTGCAACCAGGTGGGGCTTCTGATTCTATATCTTATAGAAACTAAAGAAAACTGCACTGGCCCATGTGCTACGTACCATTTATCTGGTACATCCTTCATTGAATGCGGCTGTAATTTCAGCCAATGTCGCTTGTCTTTCCCTACATACATTTCTCGTACGACACCTCTGGCCAGGGTCGTTAATGATCCGACTCCGATCACAATACTGTCCACAGTGACTCCCTTCGAGCATTGCTTTACCATGAGCAGCCTATATCAAATGACAACTGACATTGGTCTGGCCATATCAGAGTACAGTGGCGTCGTCTGTCATTCTTCATGGCTTTCCACTTAACGCTATCCGTGTTTTATCCTTTTGCTACTTCTCCCAGATTCTGTTCTGTTATACACATGCTTAAGCCCGCTAGGTATGTCACGCATTGCTTTCCCTTGTCCCTCTCTCCCTCCATCCGCCCTGTGAGTATCAAATTCTCCAAACCCTCCTTTCTCATTACGTGTCCCAGAAATTTCAGCTGCCTCTTCCTGATGTTCAGTATAAGCTTCCTCCTTGTTTGCATGCTCTCTAAAACTTCATCGTTGCTCACACGCTCGGTCTATGATATCCTCAACATCCTTCTGTAGAACCATTGCCTCGAGTCTCTTCTTCATCTTCGAGGAGACCGTCCAATATTCGCTGCCATAAAGGAGGATAGATATCCCGTAGCAGTTCGATACACTTTTCTTTGTTACCAATGAAATCCTCCTGTCTCCTAATACTCTGCCCAGCTTTTGGAATGCGTCTTTGGCCATCCCAATACGTCTACGGATCTCAGTGTCGCACTTACCGTTCTCTGTCAAAACACATGCCAGATATTTAAATTTCTGCACTTGCTTGATTTTAGTGTCCCCAACCACTCTGCACAATATTACGCTGTGACTTTTGGCACGTCAGGGTAGATTTGAACGGACGAGGGTAGATAAAGTGACAGAAAGCCAAAGAGTGTGATAGTTGAATAAATTCAGGTATTCATATAGATACAGAAATGAACTCACAATGAAAGTCCAATGCGAAAACACATGACTTGAAAAAAAGAAAGAGAAATGACAAGGTTTAGAAAAAGAAGGAAAGAGAAATTGTAAGGTTTGAAAGAAAGAAAGAAAGAAAGAAAGAAAGAGAAATTACAAGGTTTGAAGAAAGAAAGAAAGAAAGAAAGAAAGAAAGAAAGAAAGAGAAATTACAAGGTTTGAAGAAAGAAAGAAAGAAAGAAAGAAAGAAAGAAAGAAAGAAAGAAAGAAAGAAAGAAAGAGAAATTACAAGGTTTGAAGAAAGAAAGAAAGAAAGAAAGAGAAATTACAAGGTTTGAAGAAAGAAAGAAAGAAAGAAAGAAAGAGAAATTACAAGGTTTGAAAGAAAGCTTGAAAGAAAGAAAGAAAGAAAGCCTGAAAGAGCCTGAAAGAAAGAAAGAAAGAAAGAAAGAAAGAAAGAAAAAGATTACAAGATTTGAAGAAAGAAAGAAAGAAATTACAAGGTTTGAAAGAAAGAAAGAAAGAAAGAAAGAAAGAAAGAAAGCTTGAAAGAAAGAAAGAAAGAAAGAAAGAAAGATAGAAAGAAAGAAAGAAAGAAAGAAAGAAAGAAAGAAAGAAAGAAAAAGGTTACAAGATTTGAAGAAAAAAAGAAAGAAAGAGAAATTACAAGGTTTGAAAGAAAGAAAGAAAGAAAGAAAGAAAGAAAGAAAGAGAAATTACAAGGTTTGAAGAAAGAAAGAAAGAAAGAAAGAAAGAAAGAAAGAAAGAAAGAAAGCTTGAAAGAAAGAAAGAGAAAGAGAAAGGGTCGAAAAAAGAAATAGAGATAGAAAGAGGATGCTTGAAAGAAAGAAAGAAAGAAAGAAAGAAAGAAAGAAAGAAAGAAAGAAAGAAAGAGTGAAAGAAAGAAAAACTGACAAAACTCAGAAAAAGAAAAAAAGAAAGAAAGAGAAATTACAAGGTTTTAAAAAAGAAAGAAAGTAAGAGAAAGAGAAATGGTTTGAAAAATAGAGATAGAAAGAGAAAAGTTGAAAGAAAGAAAGAAAGAAAGAAAGAAAGAAAGAAAGAAAGAAAGAAAGAAGGAAATAGAATTTACAATGTTTAAAAGAAAGAAAGAAAGATAGAAAGAAAGATAGAAAGAAAGAAAGCCAAAGCGAAGGAGGCTGAAAAAGGTTACAAGGGTTGAAAAAAGAAATAGAAATACAAAGAAGATGCTGGAAAGAAAGAAAGAAAGAAAGAAAGAAAGAAAGAAAGAAAGAAATGAAAGCCTGGGATTATCTTTCAAAGTAAATAAACACGCCTAATCTTTCTTTTTGGTCTTTGACAGCCAACACCGACCCGGTGGCGTCCATATTAGGCGACCGTTTCGCCGTCGTCGATCACCTGGACACTTCGCTTATCCGACTGTGCAACGAGATCATCCGCGACGTCAAACACACCAAACAACAGGCCGACGGTGTAGGCGACTCGGCAGAAAACAACGACAAGACAAAGCTCCTTTATCTCTACATCCTCCTCATGCAACTCGATGAGAGACTTCTCAATCTCTTCATCGTCAAATACGCCGAGTAAGTACCAGCTTTCCTTATTATCATCATTATTATCATTATCATTGTTATTAATTATGATATCAATAGCTGATATGCACATCTACGTAGGATAAGTGATCAGGATCAAATATGATGTTAACAAATACTTTATTAAAATTGAACGTGTGTTGGCCGCTTAATAGAACAAAATATAACTCGTTATGTCAAAGGGAGAAGATGAATTATATGATTAAGATTTTTTTCTTTGCTGGGGTGGAGGTCAATGAAAAAATGTTTTTTTTCTTTATTCGCGAGCATAAAATTTAATTTTTGATACTGATCGAAAGTATTTAGAGCAACAATAGTCAAGTTGTGTTTTCGAGTTATATAGGTTAATTACTATCGAAAAAGAAAAACAAAAAACATTTCATTTGATTGGGTCGGGTTGGTGGATTTTTCATGTCAACCCTTTTTGGATTATTTAATGTCGAAATCAATTTTTTATTATACACGAAAGATAATAAGTAGTCTTAGTTATACATCAGTCTGTAGACAGATATTTACTCTGTTTATACTTGAGTCTATAGATAAATATTGGTCGTATTTATACGTGAGTCTATAGGCAAACATTGTGCTTATACTTAAGTCTATAGGTAAACATTGGTCGTATTTATACGTGAGTCTATAGGCAAACATTGTGCTTATACTTGAGTCTATAGGTAAACATTGGTCGTATTTATACGTGAGTCTTTAGGCAAATATTGTGCTTATACTTGAGTCTATGGGTAAACATTGGTCGTATTTATACGTGAATTTATAGGCAAATTTTGTGCTTATACTTGAGTCTATAGGTAAACATTGGTCGTATTTATACGTGAGTCTATAGGCAAACATCGTGCTTATACTTGACTCTATGGGTAAACATTGGTCGTATTTATACGTGAGTCTATAGGCAAACATTGTGTTTATACTTGAGTCTATAGGTAAACATTGGTCCTATTTATACGTGAGTCTATAAGCAAACATTGTGCTTATACTTGAATCTGTAGGTAAACATTGGTCGGTTTCACACTTGCATTCATAGTCAAATATTGGTTGTGTATGTACCTGTGTCCACATTTTGAAATTGGTCGTGTTTATACGTGAGTCTATCTGCAAACATTGTGGCTTTCTTTGAATGTGTTGACAATGTTTCATCTAATACAAAATGAAGAACATAAATGCTAGCCAAAAATTAATAACAATTGTTGATAATGCTTCATCTATTTAAAAATGAAAATGAAAGTAAATCCTAGTCTAAAATTTAATAATAATGGTTGATAATGCTTCATCTAATAAGAAATGAAGAGGAAATTATATTCTAGTCAAAAATTAATAATAATTGATGTTATATATTTTTCAATAGAGAATTATTCAAGATAGGAATTAGCGCCTTGTGTGTCTTCTTTAAATAAATAGCGAGTTAGATATATTGTTTGAATTAAAGAATTCTTATTCTTAAATATATTACTGTTCTTTTCCTTTAAAGACATCGCTAATTTACTACCGAAAGCAACAATATTCTGAATTTCTAAAATGGAATGTCTGCGATTTCATATTTTCAATCGGGCTATTCCGGCCGATACGTTCTCATGTCTTCTTCACTTATATGTTGCATCCGGTGGTCTTCGTAATAATTTCTTCTTCATTTCAGCAAGGACTTACGCTTACGGTCACATTACCATAAAAACACCGGTTCTTATACGATCACCGAAGCTAAGCAACGTCAAGCCTGGTTAGTACTTAGATGGGTAACCGCTTTGGAATTTCAGGTGTTGTAAGCTTGGATATGTGGCTGGTGTAATAGATAATGGCTCGGAATTGTTAATCGGAGAGCCGAATTCCAATTCAAGTTGGATTCGTTATCTTCAGTTACGGGCAAATATCCTTGAGAAAGCCATGAATCCACCTCTTATTCCCCCAGCTATGGGTTCATTAGTAAGACTGGTATCACAAAGCCATTATCTCAAAAGAAATTTCTCAATGTCTTAAGAAAATATTTTCTAGTTTTAAATAACCTATTTTTATTGGTTGATAACCCATAAAAACAGAATCAGTCAATCAAGGTCGTCAAAATTCTGACCAGTTCACGAAACTAAACAGCAAATCTCTGGTATATAACGAAAAAGCTTTTAGTCGAGGCTGTGAAACCTGTCTCTTATTATCAGAGAAATGACTTTACATTGACTAGTCCTGGGTTTGACGATGAACTATATCCGGCATCAATGCCTCTGATCTCGAGATTGAAGGTTCTGAAGAGCTTGGAACCACCTGTTAATTGCTGCTAGTTATATTTTTCTTTGAAAGTATTAGTAATGTGCGTGCACACACACACGCACACGCACGCATACACACACACACACACACACACATATATATATATATATATATATATATATATATATATATATATAAATAAAGAGGTAATTATACAAAAAATTAATTAGTAATGCTAATGTGATTAATGGTGGAATCATTTCGCTAACAAGACTTAATAAGACATTAAGTTACTATCAAATCCTTGAATAACACGATCTTTATACTTGAGTTGTTGTCAGATGAAATTAATGGTCCTAGGCCGAGTACTTTCGACAATTTCAAATTGTCATCTTCAGGACGTAATACTTCCATTTTACTCGACCCAAGAAATAGATAGATAGATAGATAGATAGATAGATAGATAGATAGATAGATCTGAGCTTCCGAATATAAATAAATATGAATTAGCTCTTAAGAGACTGTTTAATGCTTATCTTTTTCGACGTCAAATGTTGTGTTCCGATTCTGATGTAATTGTTGTCGACATTTCTTTCTTTCTGCTAATGAACCCCCTTAACAAGTGGTTGCTAAACAATGAACTCTTCTGTTCTGTGCATCATGTCAGTGAATGTGTAATTGGAAAAGCTTACTGGCTTTTCCAATATAAATTCTTCTCTTTCTAAGGATACCAGGCGTTGTTCAGGCAAATCTTTTAGCAATACAATGTACTCTTCATTCTACGAATTTTTACCATCGCCATGTTTACTTTTGCGTTTATACGACTCGTGTCAGAAGCAACAGTATTTTAATCCTAACCTTTCAGCCGATGCGTTCTCTGGCCTTCGTCGATATTGTTTGAAATTTCAAGGTGAAGGATATATATTATTTAATGACTTTGCACGGATAGCGGCTCGGAATGTGAAATGGAACAGTCAACACTCTCGTGGCACCAAGACGCCACTTTTGGTCTAATTTGACTCTGGTAAAGATCTAAGAAAGCGGGAGACATCAGTTCCTTTCTGAAATTGTATAAGAAGCCGACCATTTTTCCGGCCTCTTTACCGATGGACCGTATAGATGAGTTCCACCCAAAGTCTGAAATGAACTTGTGTCTAAAATGACATAATGCGATTCTTCTTCTTCTTCTTCTTCTTCTTCTTCTTCTTCTTTTGAATTTTCTGTCTCTTTTTTTACTTTTTCTTATTTTCATCCTTCTGTTCCTTCTATTTTTGATCTTTCTTTTTCTTCTTCTTTTAAATCTTCCGTTTCTCCTTCTTTTCATCCTTCGGTTACTTCTTCTTCATTTCATCCATCTATTTCTTTTTTTTCTTCTTCTCTTCATCCTTCTTCTATTTTCGAATCTTCTTTTTCTTTGAAATCTTCCGTTTCTTTTTTTTCTTCTTCTTTCCATCATTCTATTTCTTCTTTTTCTTCTTCTTCTTCTTCTTCTTTTCATCATTCTATTTCTTCTTCTTCTTCTTCTTCTTTTGATCATTCTATTTCTTCTTCTTCTTCTTCTTTTTATTCTTTTGAACATTCTATTTCTTCTTCTTCTTCTTTTTCTTCTTCTTTTCATCCTTCTGTTTCTTCTTTTTATTTTGATTCTTCTTTTTCTTCTTCTTTTCATCCTTCTTTTTCTTCTTCTTCTTTTTCTTCTTTTGATCATTCTATTTGTTCTTCTTCTTTTTCTTCTTTTCATCCTTCTGTTTCTTCTTCTTCTTCTTCTTTTCATCCTTCTCTCTTCTTATTGTCATCCTTCTGTTTCTTCTTTTTTATTTTGATCCTTCTCTTTCTTCTTCTTCTTCTTCTTTTCATCCTTCTTTTTTCTTCTTTTGATCCTTCATCATCTTCTTTTTTCCTTTTGTTCATGCTGTTTCTGATTCTTTTGAATCTTTCGTTTCTTCTTCTTTTGATCTATCTCTTTCTTCTTCTTTTTCCTTTTCGTATTATTATCCTCATCATCATCATCATCATCATTATTATACATCTGGCCGGAAGAGTTCACTTTTAGCCGGAAGTGAAGTAAACTGTTCTCCTCATTTGAGATGGAAGGAGGCGCTCCGTCCTGGAGATTCCAAACCTACGGTAGTACCTCCCTCATTAGATTAAGTGAGCTATGGTCGGTGTAATATCAATGCCGGCATGACCATGGTTGTGAATATTGGGTAATTATTTTCCTTGGCCCATATGCATAAGTATGTGTATGGGCTCCCCGCCAAACAATCGACTTTGTTTCACGTACTGCCTTACTGGGGAGGCCGGGTAAATAATTACCTCAGGTTCTCTTTATTCTTTTCATGTTTTTTCTATTTTTTCCTTCTTCTTCTTCTTCTGTGTTTTTATTTCTTTCTTTTCAAATTCTTCATTTTCTAATTTTTCTCTTTTTTTTTCTTTTTTCTTCTTTTTGATTCGTCTCCTGATTCTTTCTTTCTTTCTTTTTCTTCTTCGTTCTAATTTTTTCTTCTTCAATTCCTCCTTTTTTTTTTCTTGTTTTGATTCGGTTTCTTCTTTTATACTTTCTTTCTCTGATTCGTTTTCTAAAGTTTTCTTCTCTGTGTTTTTTTTTTTTTCCGAACTTTCGTCTGACACTTTTTCTTCTGATTTTCATTCTTCTTCTTCTTCTTCTTCTTCTTCTTCTTCTTCTTCTTCTTTTTTGGTTCGTTTTCTCATTTTTCTTTTTCTATTTTCTCTTCTTTTTTATTTATTTATTTCTGTCTTGTTTTTGTAAATATTATTTCATCTTATGATTCTCCTTTTAACTCTCCTTTTAACTCTCCTTTTGCGTCTTCTTTTTCTTTTATGGCTTTTCTTTCCTCGTTCTTTTAATTTTTTTTCCTTTTTTTCTCTTTTTCTTCGAATTTCTCTTATGAGTTATTTTGATTCTTCTTTTTCTTTTCCTGTTCGTTTTCTGATTTTTCTTTCCCTTTCTTTCTCCTTCTTTGTCTCTTTCTACTTTTCCTTCTTTATTTTTAATTCTTTCTTTCTCCTTTCTTTCTTACTTTTCTTCTTTCTTTCTTCTTTTTTCTTCTTTCTTTTTCTTTCTTTCTTTCTATTCCTTTCTTCTTTCTTTCTTCTTTTTTCCTTCTGTCTTTTTCTTCTTTCTTTCTACTTCTTTCTTTGTCTTTCTTTCTTTCTTTCTTTCTCCTTCCTTAATTCTTTTTTTTTCTTCTTTCTTTTTCTTCTTCTTTCTTTCTTCTTGCTTCTTCTCCTAAATCTTTCTTCTGTTTCTTCCTGTTCTTTTAATTTATCTTTCTTTCTTCTTTTTCTTCTTCTTTTCATTCTTCTTCCTTTCTATTTTTTCTTCTGATTCTCTTTTTTCCTCTTTTGATTTTTTCTCTTTTCTGATTATTTTTTCTTTTTTTTTTTCTGATTCGTCGTTTTATTTTTTTTCTTTTAATTCTTCTGCTCTCTTCTTCTTCTTCTTCTTCTCCTCCTCCTCCTCCTCCTCCTCTTTCTTCTTCTTCCTCTTTTACTACTACTATTTATCATTATTATTATTATTATTATTATTATTATTATTATTATTATTTTCATCTCTTTTTCAATTTCTTCTACTGAGTATTTTCTTCTTCTTCATCCTCTACTACTACGACTACTACTACTTATTATTATTATTATTATTATTATTATTTTCATCTCTTTTTCTAGATTCTTCTACTGAGCATGTTATTCTTCTTTTTCTTCTTCAAATGCTTTCTTTCTTTTTCTTCTTCTTTTACTTATTTTTATTATTATTATTATCATTATTATTATTATTATTATTATCCCTTTTCCGTTTTTTCTCCTATGTATCCAATTTATCTTTTATTTCTTTCAATCTTTCCTCCTTCTTCTTCTTCTTCGTCTTCGTCTTCTTCTTCTTCTACTACTTCTTCTTCTTCTTCTTCTTCTTCTTCTTCTTCACTGCCAATGAAGGCGGGGCAGGTGAATTACGTTGATAAATTTCTATTAGTTGTGGATAAAAGAATGACAGATATTTCTAATAGCGCCATTTCTTCGAAGCTCAACCGCATTCTCGGGGCTGTTTCCGCCGCAGGGGAGGCAAACCCACGGCCCTGATTCTTGATTTATGATGACGGCATGCCAACGACACTTTCCTACTCTTCATAACCTCGTCACTTCATCTGTTCCAACGTTTTGCTCTTGCCAAGAATACGACCAACTCTTACGACTCTAAAACCAAACATGAAACTCCACGCATAAAGTTATTTATACGATTCTCCGATATGAAATTACGAATTTGTTTTTTACTAATTAGGACACGGATATTTTTGTTTCTGGACTGTAAACGAAATGTCTTGTCAGCCGTTGCAAGAAATAGCTATTGATTACGAATTGTCAAGAATCATTATCTCATTCTATATCAGAGTAAAAAAAAAAAACTAAAATAGAAAACAAAATTACCAAGGTATCGGGTCGGCCTTTTCTAGGACAATTATTAATCTCACTGCCTTCATCAGTATCAAACATTGTTTTAAATTAATCACAGCTGGAGTAAGAAGGCAAAGTAAGAAAAGAAAGAAATTTCGGCAAAGACTATTCTTCGTGCCCGAAAAAAAAAACTGTTTCAAAAGGATGTTTTTCCTGTTGATGACAGTCTTACTGCATACCATCGAAAGTCCCTTGGCAACGTTTATTTACAAGATTAGAAAAATATGTGAACCATCTACAATGTGATATTTATTATTTACCATTTTATAAAGATTTATTATTTGACAAACGTGGATGTGTTCGCATTAAGACGGTATTTCAAAAGAACGGTTTTCCCTGAGAGACTGCTTTTATTTTAACTGCCTTCACTCTTCGATAATGTTTGTTTTTAAAAAGCCATAATTCAAATTTTAATAAAACCAAAACATGAAGTTTAATTTGAAGATTAGGAACCCGCTTAGTTTGCATTAAAAATTTCCCGAATATTTACATGTGTACATGCTTCATTCGAAAATGACTTGAAAAATTTGATAAAATCCACCGACAGTAAAAGTTCAGATTCATTCACGTCGCGGCAGCCATTACTGGCGCTGTTTGCATACATTTGCTGCGGATCAGCTATGAGTGGATAATTCACTTGTCTTGATTATTATGCACGCAATATAGTTCTCTTGCGCAGTAATTGCGATAAGTTGAGATGAGTAAGATCAGTAAAAAAACAAATGGCCTTTAAGTACGTTCTTCCGGGCTTAGCTTTCCGCAGCGAATGTATACAAACAACGCCAGTAATGGCTGCCGCTAACGACGCTAATCCGAACTTGTACTGTCGATAGCTCCAAAACAGTAAATTTTATCAAATTTATCAAGTCATTTTTGAATGAAGCATGCATATTTACACGCAAATGTAAATATTCCGAAAATGTTTAATGAAAAAGTGAGCGCGGGTCCTAATCTGCAAATTAACCAACATGAAAATGAATTTATACGTTTTCTTTGTTCTTGAGAATGAACAAAAATAAACACTATTTATTTGATGATTTCTTGTAATGATTGGCAAAACATCGGCTAATTGCCAATTGATTCTAACTTTATAAAATGGTGAATGTTTTCATATTTCTTTATAAATTGGTAAATGTTAAATATTGCATCGCATTAGTTGTAATTGTATTAGTTTATTAGAATGTTGTAAATATAAAATTATTCTTGAAAATAAACAATCCAATAAAGTGGTGCCAATTCTCAAGAACAAAAATAAATGTATAAATTCAGACAAAAAAAACCGATGTTATGCAGGTCAAAAACCGTCATTTTGACACTACGTTTTTTTTTTTTGTTTGTTTGTTTGTTTTGGGGGGGGGTGCGGGCACAAAGCTCCATCTTTGTGATGTTTTCGTTGTCAAACAAAAATTATGTAAACAAGCAAACTCGACGAAAAATATTTAAATTAAAACGTCTAACGTAGGATTATAGTAGAAAATCCATAAAACCAGTTGAGTTATTCAGCAAGAAAGAAAACAGGTTAACATCGTTTTGTGTTAGCCCCACTGTCTTCCCAATTTAGCAATGATGAGAGGAAAAAGATCATCCAGGCCTTCAGTAATGGTACCAACATTCATAAAGCTGCTGTAGGAACCAAGAAATATATATGACATATTTCGTCAACTGCTTCAGTGTCGAGCAAATGTTTCTGACATGTCGTCAGCTGCTTTAGAAACCAAGAAACATATATGACATATCTCGTCAGCTGTTTCAGGGTTGTGGAAATGTCTATGACATGTCGTGTGTTCCTCTAAGATCAAAGAAATAAATATGACATATCTCTTTACCTGCTTCAGGGTCAAACAAATGTTTATGACATGTCATCAGCTGATCTAGGAACCAAGAAATATATATGACATATCTTGTCAGCTGCTCCAAAAACCGAGAAATGTTTATGACATATCTCGCCAACTGCTTTAAGGACCAAGTAATGTATATGAGAAATCCCGTCAGTTGCTTCATGGTCGAGGAAAAATTATGACATGGCGTCAACAACACTACGAACCAAGAAATGTACTTTACATTTCTCGACTGATTTAGGAACTAAGAATTGCTTATGATATAATTCAAAAAATATTCTACTGACCTAGGATATATGTCATTAGTTGTTCTTGGAACCAAGAAATTTTTTACGGTATATTTCGTCAGCAACTCTTGGAACATCAAAAATATTTCCAATATATATCGTCAGCTGCTCTTGGAACAAAAAATGTCTTGATATATTTCGTCAGAAGCTCTAGGAAACAAGACATATTAATACGAGATGAATTATAAATATTTCTTGTTTGCAACGTTAAAAATCAAGAAATATTTATTATATATCACGTTAGCTGGTTTAGGGATCACAAAATTCTTATATATCTCCTCAGCTGCTTTATGAACCAAGAAATGCTAATGGCAAATATCGTCAACTACTATGACAACCAACAAATATGTATGACATATCTCGAATTATTTTTTTCAATTGCTTTTTTCATATTTTATGATATATGATCTGATGTTCACCCTTGAAAGGGCAAGAAGTTCACGTCACCCAGAAAAAAAAAATAACAGCCGTAGATTACGCAGATGACCTTGTCTTGTTGTCAGACACGATTGGTAAGGCTGTCAAACTTCTCCATCTCAGGGAAAAAGCGGCCAGCGAGATTGATCTCTACATTAATGCTGCCAAAACAGAATTTATCACTTACAACCAAGAAGGAGAAATTAAGCTGAAAAATGGCAACATCATTAAATCCGTCCAATCCGCAAAGACAAGCCCTGGGGTGTCCTAGATGCTCTGAGCACCATTTAAAAGTCCTTCCTCTCTGACAATCTTAAGAGGGACTTTTTTAAGGCCACGGTAGAATCTGTCTAGCGCCACGGCTCAACAACATGGACACTGACGAGACACCAAGAAGTGTCACTTGGCGAAACATACACAAGGATGTTACGAGTTGCATTGGACATCAGCTGGAAGAAACACCCAACAATGAAACGTCTGTATGGACACCATCCTCCTATCTAAGTTTCGCTAAGAGAGAGAGAGAAGGCTTTGTTTAGCTGGTTACTCTTGGACTTGTAAGTGACACCCTGCTTTGGAACCCACTGTGCGACAAAAGATCGATTGGAAGTCCTCATTACGCCATCATACATTGACCAACTTGTAGATGACTCTGGGCGCCATCTGGAGGAGCTGCCGACAGCGATGCCTGACAGAGATGATTGGAAGGAACGAGTCAAGAGAATCCGAGAAGTCTCGACCTGATGATGATGATGATGATGATGATGATGATGATGATGATGATATATCTTCTCAGCTTCCCCGAGAACCAAGAAAACTCATATATCTTGTTAACTGCTCTAAGAACCAAGGAATCATATCTCGTCTGCTTCTTTAGGAACCAAAAATTATTAACGATATATTTCGTTATCTGCTCCGTAAACAAATATATTTTAGGATACAACGCGTCCGCTAGGCGAACTCATTCGTCCATGCATTGAATATTGCTGTCACATCGGATCTGGTGTTTCCGCTATGTACCTAGTTTCTTGATGTAATACAAAGAAGAATCTACAATGTTACTGGTACTGACCTGGCATCTCGGCTACAGTCACTTTCCCACCACCATAACGTAGATTCATTCGTTCTTTTCTATAAATATTTTCATGGTAATTGTTCTGAGGAACTTTCATTGATGGTAGCTAAGCTTTATGAATTTAAGAGTAAGCAGCAGATTGGCGGCAAGGTCTCACCACTTTACAGTTGAAATAGATAGACGTAACCGTAAGTTCTATGATAGCAGTTCCTTCTTGCACTTCTCGCTTGTGGAACTCTCTCCCGATTTCTTGGTTTCCATTCTACTTTGATCTTAAAAAATTGAAAAGCCATGTCAATCATTGTTTTCTGTCTTCTTTATAAATCTTGTTCATTTATTGCCCTCTCTCCTTAAATGTATATTTTTATAATGTATACTGTTTTGTAATATAGCTTTCCTGTGTCATTTCTATAAATACTTTCATGGTAATTGTTCTGAGGAACTCTTCTCTATGGATCTAGACTTTATGAATTTAAGCGTATTAGTAGTTTGGCAATATAGTCTCATCAGTTGAATTGGAGAGATGTAACCGTAAGTTCTATGCTAACAGTTTCTTCCTTCGCACTTCTCGCTTGTGGAACTCTCTTCAAATTTCTTATTTTTACAGTCTTCAAAAATTTAAATGCAATGTTCTTTTATTGTTCTCTCCTTAATAATGCTTTTTTTTTAATCAAAGACCCTTCAACATTTAACTCTCTTTTCGATGTTACGTATGCCCTTCTTGTTTCTATATTCTCCAAAATGTCGTTGTTGCTCACCTGTTCATTCTATGGTATCCTCAGCATCCTTCTGTAGAACAACATTTCTGTTGCGGGCTCTCCTAATCCCTGTTCTGCCAACTATTTACTCACTGCTTTCCTCTTGCCTTCAATATGTCCTCTGAGTGTCAAACTTTCCATTCCCTCTTTCCTCGTTGAGTACCCGAGAAATTTCAGCAGTAACTTTTTGATTCGAAGTGTACTTTTTGTCTCCATACAATAATTGAAGATAACTGAAAATTTCTCAGCACAACCAAGACGGAAAACACAAAGAAATGCTGTTTGTTTTGATTTTTTAAATTGGGTTGATCCAAGAATTTTACAACACGTATTATACACGGATCGTATTACTTTGGGGACGTCTGCGCTATTTAATAATTTCGCAAGATTTATTCCTAAAATTTATGATCTTATGGCCATATCACGTTGAACACCGGTTCGCGTACGATCGATGAAATTAAGCAACATTCAACCTGGTCAGTACTTAGAAGGGTGACCTTTTGGGAATACCAAGAGCTGCTGTAAGCTTATATATGTACACGTAATCGATCCGTTGGTATATAATCCGAGTGGATACTAGTAATGTTAATTATTAAAACTGATCCACAGAGAGCTCAATGTTTTTATTTTAACAGAGCATATGTATTTTTTTTACAGTAAAAACAAAAAATTACCTCATCATCTATTTCAAGCCGTTCTATATACGGCTATCATCAGTCTCTAAGTGTCTGTCCCGAAAAATAAATTGTAAAATAGTTTTGTCTGTATGATAAAATTATAATAAATAAATAATTATCACTATACTATCGGTATCGAGCCCTCTTATGGATTAATGCTGTGAACGTTGGAATTTATATATTACTTTCGTTCTCATCGCATCGGATATATATATATTTATTTTATAAAGGGGCAATATTATTAATAATATATTTATATATATATATATATATATATATATATATATTATAAATTAATTGATTTAAAATATGGTTTTTTTTTTCGCTACACAGTTCCAACCATGTTTCAAAATAGAAGCTAAAACCCCGAATTTAATTTTGCAATTAAATTAAAAGCATTAGTTCCATTTCATCTTCAAGCGAATTTTGGAGTAACTTTTAAAAATTACCGGTTTAGCTTCTATTTTTGAAACATGGTTTAAACTGTGTAGCGAAAAAAACATATTTTAAATCAATTAATTTATAATATTAATGCTCTGTAAATTTACATTGAGCACTATTTTGTAAAAAAAAAAATATCTATGAGAACACCGTTTTATATCTTACTGTTCTTTCTTTTTATTTATATATATATATATATATATATATATATATATATATATATATATATATATATATATATATATATATATATAATAGCAGTAATAATCTTATAAGTATAAGAAATTATACTCCTTCGAAAACCTTCGGTGTCTTGATTTGCAAATAATCAAACCAATACTAAATAGAAAAAAAAAAAAATATAAAAAAGAAAGAACCAAGAACATGTACGTCAGCTGAAAGTAATCGTCTAGCATGCAAGTCCAAAGCCCAAAGAAAAAAACCCCGATACGAGTAGACAAAATAACTAAATAAAGTGCTCAATACAGTAAGTAACCTTGGTAGGTTTGTCTGGCTCTCTAGGTTTAACCATATATATATATATATATATATATATATATATATATATATATATATATATAGGGGCAATATTATTAATATATATATATATATATATATATATATATATATATATATATATATAAGATTTAAGAATAGATTTAGGATATTTTATATATATAGTGCTCAATATTAAAAATATTAAAATAATATTAAAAATAGAGCGTTAAAGGTATATGTGAAAGGATTGCTTAACTTTTATATATCAATTTTTATGCTGACACCCGATGTTTCTAAGTAAAATTTCCAGTCATCAGGAGTAATAGTTTTGAAGGATATCTCAAAACCACTATCCTCGGCATCCTTCTGTAGACCACATTTCTGTGGCTTTCAATCACTGCTTCATCAGTGAGGCAAAACAAATTAGGTCTTAAAAACTCGACTGATACACGAATACATACAGTCAAGAGAAACCCGTAAAAGGTACGATGATCGTATCAGAACGTTGATATCAGTTACTGTTTATAAGCAAAGAGTACGTCAATTTATCGTAAGCTTTTTGTGAGCCACGATGCGATTACGTATTCTTCTCTACATGGTTTCTTCGTCCACACGTTCGACTTGGCGTCTCGCCCGAATCCGTGAGCGATGTTTGCCTTTTACTGGATGCACTTATAGGTAACGTTGCCCAACTCTTATGGTGCCGGCTGGTATTGACCAACTTTCTACCAAACTACCGACCTTCTTATTTGCGTTGTTTCAAACTGACACAAAGGACTGCACGCAACGCATTGTATATTTCCCCTGAAGCACTGTGTGTCAGTTTATGCATAAATGTCTTCCATCTGGAATTGATAGCAACATACTTCATTATTTTACACCGTTTCACTTACACTTGCTGATACACAGAAGAAAATAGCCCTGCATATAAACTTATATATATATATATATATATATATATATATATATATATATATATATATATATATATATATATATATATATATATATATATATGTGGGGGGGATGTTTGTATGTGCTCATATGTTCAAACGCTCACACTCATATATATATATATATATATATATATATATATATATATATATATATATATATATAGATAGATAGATTATTACTTCAAAACGTAACCCAAGTTTTAATAGACGACCCGTTTTTATATGTATACGCTTATATATATATATATATATATATATATATATATATATATACGTCTTCATATGTTCTAAGGCTCACATTCATAGATATATTATTATTTCAAATGTAATTTTTGTAGATACTCGTGTTTAAATAAACGTCCTGGTTTTTATACATAAAAATATATATATGTGTGTGTATGCTTGTTTATATCTTCAAACGCTCACTGATAGATAGATAGATAGATAGATAGATTATTACTTCAAATGTGATTTTCTTGGATTTCCGTGTTTAAATAGACACCAGTTTTTATACATATACACTTATATATATATATGTGTGTGTGTGTGTGTGTGTGTTTTCATATGTTCAAATGCTCACACTCATAGACAGACAACTTATTACTTCAAGTGTTATTTTACCTGTGTTTAAACAGACAGCCTCTTTTTCATTTTTTTTAAACTGTATGTATTACGACTCACAGTCTGCGTCCTCCAGAACCTTGCGCGGTTGTGACGTTCTCTGTGACCGAGAGGGTCTAAAGCACGCCGGATCAGACGGTTGTTTCTCCTGCTTGCAGGAGAGCACGCTTAATAAAGTGTTCTTGCGTGCAGAGGGCGATAGAATTAATTAAAAATGGGACGTTTATTTAAACACGGGTATCCACAAACATGACGTAAAAATCACCCTCTTTCTCTCTCTCTCTTTTTTCTCCACACACCCACACCCACACCCAGACACACACCCACATACACACACACACACACACACACACACACACACACATATATATATATATATATATATATATATATATATATATATATATATATATATATATATATTCTGTTTATGCGTTATTTTCATAGATACAATTTATTTAAATTTCTCAAACATTCAGGCCGCTAAATGTAATTAATACTGTTTATTTAATAACGTATAAACAGAAAATATATTAAATAATTGTCGGACTTAATCCATTTTATAAAATATATATCGAGATCTGTCAGTAAAATTTTTTATTAACTTTTTCAAAAAACAACTTATTCGAAAATTTGAAAAAATTGATAAAAAATTTAGAAAGGCAGAACTTCTCCATATTATTCAACCAGATATTTGAAATAATTTTTGCTGCGGACATATAACTATATATATATATATATATATATATATATATATATATATATATATATGTGTGTGTGTGTGTGTGTGTGTGTGGACATTGAAGTCAACGCCCAGCAGCGACAGTCTGTTTCATTGTAAAAACTCAATCGTCAGGCCATAATAAATTTAATTTGTTCACCTATCACATGACTGAATTGTCTTTGGCGAAATTATACCCACTCTTCAGGAAATTAGTTAATGGTAGCCCGCCATTGAAACTCACTTCCGCTTTTGTTTTGATTTGTTTTTGTTTTTCTTTTTTTCTCCTATTCCACAATCTCTCTCTCTCTATATATATATGTATGTATGTATGTATATATATATATATGTGTGTGTGTTCATATCCATATTAATATATATATATATATATATATGACTAAGAGCTTTCACCTACGCGGATGGTTAGGATACGCCGCCGTACCCTGACGATCCACGTAGGTGAAACCTAGGTAGGCATATTCTAATATGTATATATCTCAGTCTGTTCATATCTCAATTTGATCATATCTATCTATCTATCTATCTATCGTCTGTTCATATTTATCTATCTGATCATGTTCGTATCTATCTATCCATCTATTTCAGTCTGTTCATATCTATCTATCTATCTGTTCATATCTATCTAATCTGTTCATATCTATCTAGCTAGCTTGCTAGCTAAGTCTGTTCATATCTATCTGTCTGGTCCTGTTCATATGTATCTATCTATTTCAGTCTGTTCATATCTATCTATCTATCTATCTATCTATCTATCTTAATCCTTAGATCTGTGTCTGGGTGTATCTGTTTGTTTCGGTAGGTGCCCGCTTTTAGTCTCTCCACTGATGTTTTAATAAAATTCTTTTGTTCTACAGTCAGAGTATATAATTCGCCTTGTTTTCTTTTTTCTTCTTTTTTCTTTATATTTTTTGTTTTTATTTTATTTTTTTTATTTATTTATTTTTATTTCTCTCCTTCGGGTTTAAGAAGACCAACAGAAAACGTGTGAAAGAGTTTTTTTTTTTTTGTTTTTTTTTTGTTTTTTGGTGAACCTATTGCGAAAGGAACAAAGAAATTGACAGGCTAAATAATAGACTATGAATTAGCATTGCGCTCCTCTCTTGCCTCCCCTCTCACATGTGCCCCCCTTCTTTATGGGTCGCTGGGGGCGTTGGAGAAAGAAGTAGAAAAAAAAAAAAAGAAAAGTAAAATTAAGCTCGTGAACGAAACACAAACGGCAGGAGAATAACATGGCCAGTTCAAAGAATATGCAATTTCTTTTCTTTCTTTTTTTTTACGTGGTATAGGGGTGGATCGTTGGTGACGATAAGAAGACAAAAGAAAAACAAAAAAAAACCCTCGGATCGATCCTTTCCATCCGTCCTACGCCGTGGCGTCACCAATGGCCCGACCAACCCTTATTCCGTTCTGATATATCACACATGGCAACCGTAAGCTATTAGCTTCATTCTGGAATACCAAAAGAGAAAATCTTTAATATCACTACAATTAATTAATACCCTTCTTGGCGGGGCTCGCTTCTAAGGAGAACGATGCTTAACAATTCACGCGGGGTGTAGGGAATGTCTAAGGTGCTCTTTTAACGATATCTGCTGCCTTTTTTCACGTCTCTTTTTGTCAGGGCCCTGTTGAATTCTATTTCTAGAGTTCTTTTAGCTTTCTAAATCTCATCGGGGATCAAATATATCTCTCTCAGTGTGTGTGTGAGAGAGAGAGAGAGAGAGAAAGAGAGAGAGAGAAGGGGAGAGGTGGAAGAGAAGGGGAGAGATTTCTTTAAAAAAAAATTTGCAATTATGTGTACTGAAAAATTCTCGGCCCGATCAAGAAGAAATTGCCAAAAAACAAACATCCTGAGGTTTCGTCATTTGGGATGGGAGATTTTCAGCGAACATTTGTAAAAGGCGATCTTTCCTTTTATTTTCAAGTTGTCCGCTATGAAGGGCGTAGTGGTTAAAAGCAGGACGAGCCACGTTAATCTACCGCTTGAGAATTCTCGACTTTGGCTGTTTAAGAAGAAAGATCATTCTCTCTCTCTCTCTCTCTCTCTCTCTCTCTCTCTCTCTCTCTCTCTCTTATGTTCCTTCAGGATGTAGGCAATCATGGCTCTCTAGAGCTTCCAACGTTTTTGTTCTTTTATGAACCTATTTTGTGTCGCTGTGAAACTTGTTGCTCGCTGATTTAATCTGTTTCTCTTGAGCTCGATGTTCGCTGTGAGTGTTAAATTCTCTAAGTCTACTTTCCTCATTGTATTAATTTCAGTTGTCTTCGTTTATTTTTGCCCTTTGCTCTCTTGACAAAAATCCTCGATATTTGCGTAAAAAAATTGAACTACGACGAAAAAAGGATTCTTCTCTCTCTCTCTCTCTCTCTCTCTCTCTCTCTCTCTCTCTCTCTCTCTCTCTGCGATACTCCTTCAGGATATAGGATGTTAAATTCCCAAAGCCTTTTTTCCTTAATATGTTTCCACAAAAATTTCAACTGCTTTTTTTTCTGATTGTTAGCAGAATTTTCTTTATCACTCCAAGTCTTTTTAAAATGTCATCATTCATTATTCAATCTCACTTTTCAAAATCCAGTCACACTTTTGTTTATTGGTTTGTGACCCATAAACCAAGAGATTTATAAAATTCAGTGACCACTTCGGAATACCAGTTGCTGTAAATCTGGATGTACAGGTGGTGTTATGGATTATATTATTTTATTATTTATTATTATGCCCCTTGATTCCTTGGGGAACATAGGACTGCAGCAACACCTCTGCAGCAGACGCGGTTCCGAGCGATCTTCTTCAGCTCGGCCAATGTCGTGCCAGCTGCGTTCACCTCTGCGTCAACACTTTTGCGCCAAGTCTGTTATGGTCGACCCATTTTCACATCCCTATAGATTCCAGCCAAGGCCCTGCCTGGTGACAATAGAAGCAGAAATTGTGGTGTGTGTGGCCGATCCATCCCCATTTCCGTTTCTTGATGTCAATCTCGATTGGGCTTGTCTGGTCCTGTCCCACTGTTGGTCATTGGAGACGACTTCCCTTGTGGATTCTAGTCAGGGTCCTGCCTGGTGATACTAGAAGTAGGCTTGCGGAGTGTGTGGCCGATCCATCCCCATTTCCATTTCTTGATGTCAGTCTCGATTGGGGCTTGTCTGGTCGTGTTCCACTGTTAGTCATTGGAGATGACATCCCTTGTGGATTCCAGTCAAGGGCCTGCCTGTTGACACTAGAAGCAGACCTTGCGGTGTGTGTGGCCGATCCATCCCCATTTCCACTTCTTGATGTCAATCTCGATTGTGTCTCGTCTGGTCCTGTCCCGCATCTGATCGTTGGAGACGACTTCTGGCCACCTGATATTGAGGATCTTCCTAAGAAATCCATGGTAAATATCTGAAGTTTGTAGGGGTTGGTCTTGGTTGCCCACCAGGTTTCTCAGCCGTACAGTAAGCGAGACTTTACGTTCGGTTGAAGATCCGGATTTTGTTATAAAGTGAGAGACCTGATGATCTCCAGATTGGCCGCAGAGTGTTAAAATATCGATAATGGCTCGGAATTGTTAATCGAAAAGCTGAGTTCCAATTCCCGTTGGGGTAGTTATTCTCAATTTTGCGCATCGAGAACGGTATGAATCCACCTCTTGTCCCTCCCGTTATGAGTTAATTAGTAAAACCAAGCCACTACTATCTAAAAATTCTTGCAATCTAATTTTCTGCATTTAAATAGCCTGTGGAGGGTTTATAAACCGTAAAAAATGAATCAATCATTAAAAAACACTTGATTGAAACTTATATCATATATAAATATTCTAAAAGGCGAGTGTTCAAGATGGCTATCTGTAGGATTCGTGTGTTTACATTAAAAGTGAAAAAAGTGCAAAATGGGATGCATTTCTTCATTTATTTCTAAAAAACAAAAAAGTCTGTACAAACGGCAAAAAATATGTGCCATTTATAGAAACGGTACCATAGCTGAGAGAACCGTTTGTAAGTGGTTCGCTTGGTTCAAAAATGGAAATTTCGATCTGGAAGCCCAAGAATGTTCCATCAGGGCCTGCTACAGCGGTTGACGATGATCCAATTAAAACACTGATTAAAAATAATCCCGGTCACATGATACTGGACAGACGCGTGAAACGAACCACTTCGCCTTTTCAAACAGATCCGTTCCTTTATGCTCAACGTGGAGGTGTTCACGTGTAGCCGCACACGGTAAAGCCACACTTGCCTCCTATTAGGAGACCTGAAAAGATCTTGTATTATCGCAGAGGTAAGATTCTGTGGATGGCGTCTTCGACGACGTTCCGCTTCATACTGAACCAACCTTGCTTCTATGAGTTATAAATGCACGGGTGAGAGCACGAAACGAAACAAGTTGCCCACGATTTAAACCTCTAAGCGGTTGTCCTCTGTGACAATCCTGAGTCTAGAATTTAGAGTTTTGATTGTGATAATGCTAACAATGATTAAGACGACAGTTTCATTTTAAATAATGTAAATAATGATAACAAATCATCCCCAAAATATAAACATTGTCTTCAATCATGTTCTTTTGTTTTGTTTTGTCGATAAGAAATTTTAGAATAGAATACAAATATCTCAACATATCGCGCCCATTTGGCTGTGATGCGTGTGTCTAATATACCATTATTACACTGGGTCTCATAATGGCTATATTGGGCTTCGTATATTTAGAAACCAGTGTTTGTTAACATGTTGTTCTATGGTTCAATAATAATAATAAATTGAAAGATTTCATAAATAATATAGGTAATAATAAACAAGTAAAAATTATATCTTTTATGTACCGTGTTCCTTCAGGATGTAAGAGATTATGGCCCTCCACATTTTCCTGTCTCTTGTAGTTCCTAATAAGTTTTGTGTTTTTGTTATTTCTACCAAACCCTGTTCTACCATTAATTTATTCAAGCCCATCAAGTATGTTACGCACCTCTTTCCTCTGTCCTTCCTGCCCTCAATCTGCCCTGTGAGTATCAGATTTTCCAAGTCTTCCTTCCTCATTACGTGCCTGAAAACTTTCATTTGCCTCTTTCTAATGTTACTTATAAGTTTCCTTTTAGTTTCCATTTTCTCTAAAACCTTGTCGTTGCTTACATGTTTCGTCCATGACATTCTCAGCATCTTTCTGTAGAACCACATTTCTGTTGCTTCAAGTTTCTTCTTCATCTTGGAAGAGACTTTCCAGCATTCGCCGCCATACAAGTGGGCAGATATCACAAAGAATTCAGTAGTTTTTGTTTCTAATAAAAATTTTCCTGACTCTTAATACTCTGGTTAGCTTTTGGAGTGCATGTTTGGTCATCTTAATACGTCTTCGGATCTCGGTGTCGCACTTGCCGTCCTCTGTTAGAACGCTTTCCGGATATTTAAATATTTGTGGTTTGATTTTGGTATCTCCGACCTGTAATTTGTAATGTATGTGGTGGTTGGAATGTCGAACTGGAGTAGACTGTTCTAGTTCCACGTCTATCTCGTGTTAATTCCCCTCTCCAAGTTCTCCACCGCCTTAACCGGGTATTGGTTTTTTGGGTTCTGTCACTGAATCTAACTAACGGCTTTATCCACTGTGCCATGTGTCCTTGAGGACATCTGTGTATGAATTTCTGGGTTGTATAAGCCTAATTTCTTCAGCAACCATTGCTCATATTGCATATATTATGAAATTAACTAAGTCCGACAATTATTTTATATATTTATTATTTATAAGTTATTTTTATAGATACAAATACTTAAGTAAATGCTTTGTTTAGAATAGAATACAAATATCTCAACATATCGCGCCCATTTGGCTGTGATGCGTGTGTCTAATATACCATTATTACACTGGGTCTCATAATGGCTATATTGGGCTTCGTATATTTAGAAACCAGTTGCCCACGATTTAAACCTCTAAGCGGTTGTCCTCTGTGACAATCCTGAGTCTAGAATTTAGAGTTTTGATTGTGATAATGCTAACAAATGAAATTAACTAAGTCCGACAATTATTTTATATATTTATTATTTATAAGTTATTTTATAGATACAAATACTTAAGTAAATTCTTTTGTTTATATATATATATATATATATATATATATATATATATATATATATATATATATATATATATATATATATATATATAGTCATCCATAGACTGTTTCGCTATATCACAGCTTATCATTGTGGCTAGACGTCCGGTTGCCTCTAGCTAGGATCGAAATCCGACTGAATTGGCGTCATTCGTAGGATCTACCCCTAAACCATTGGCTCACTGCAGGGATGAAGGTGAATTTCAGCGTATTTATTTTTAGATAAACACGACAGTGACTGAGAGAACTCGATTCGTTTTATCGAACAGTTTTACATTAGTAGAAGTAATAGTTACTGTTTACAAACGCACACATTCTTCCAGGAGAGCTCAACCAAAATAATTTTTCAGGGGCATATATTTTGTCATCCACAGACAGACTGTTTCGCTGTATCACAGCTCATCAGTGTGGCTAAACATCCTGTTGCTTCTAGCTAGGATCGAAACCTGGCTGAATTGACATCAGTCGGAGAATCTACCGGCTGAATTGACGTCAGTCGGATAATCTAGACCTAAAACCTTGGCACACGGCAGGGATGAAGGTGAATTTAAGCGTATTTATTTTTAGATAAACACACCAATGACAGAGAACTCGTTTCGTTTTATCGAAGAGTATTGAATTAGTAGCAATCATGCTAGAAGCAATCGTCAGTGGCCTCACGGTTGCGTCTAGTATGAAACAGCCTGTCACATCTAAGTGTTGACTTCAATGTTCACTTATATATATATATATATATATATATATATATATATATATATATTCAAGCGGGTTTGGTGAAATAATTTAGGCGTATTATGTATATTTATTTTAATTTGAATCTTTTCGAGTTCACGAATTAATTTATTGGTGGCTCGAGAAAATTCATCAAGAAAAATACAAAATTATCTTTCAAACAATTTTTATTTTCCCAAGTACTTTCAATCTCATCTGAGGCCATCCTCAGGCCGTTAAAATATCTGTCGATGTTTATAAAGTAGCTCCGCTAATTCAAAATATTCAAGCGGGGTAGCTTTTGTAATTTAAAAAAAGAAAAAGTTTTTTTTAATTATATTTTAATTTAGTATTTTTATATAAAACTCTGGCGCTACAAACATTTAAGAACTTTGCTGCTATACTTTTATTTGACTTTCATTTTGGGACGCAATTCTCTCATATAAAGAGCTTCCAGAATTCTAAGTTTTGCTTATTGTTATTTTGCTGAATTATTAATGTATTTTCTGTAATAATTGACTAAACTATGGATGTGAACATGTGTGTTCCTTTACATGTTATGAGATTGAACTGTGATCATTCAAGTGAAATGTAAACCATCCCGTCAACGACGTCGTTGTAAAATAGACATAATGC